TTGTATCCTCTTCACCGGCCGTGGCCTCAGATCGTACTCAATTTCCTCCTCTTCCTACCTGCCTTTGAATGTAATTTGGATCCTGCACCATACTGGCACAAGCGAAGCTTGGACATGTTAGTTCGGAGGTAGGTAGCTGTGGGAAGCAGGTATCGAGCGTGGAAATGGAGGTGAATCATGCGAGAGGCAAAGGCCATGGGCCTGATAAGGTGTTGATCGTGCATTGGAAGGCAAAGAAAAGAAAAAAGGCTGATGGTTGGAGAGACGGAGTGCATGAGACGAAAATAAGTATTATATACCAGGGAACTGTCATGAATGCCTCCTTCTATCCATTGGTGTTCTTACCTCTAACTGTTCTTCCTTTTTGTCATTCTTGCCTCCTTACGAGGACCACTTGGGTACTTGAGAAGGTTTGCGCTTGCGATATGCAACAGGGGGCAGCGGTGCTACTAGGTTTAGATAGTAGGAGCGTTGATTGTATGGAAGGCGATATCTACGGAACTGGGAGGTCGCGGGTGTACAGCAGGAAGAGGTGGTTTTGGCATGTATGAATTTTGCATTGCACAGTATAGTTTTTAGTTGGCGGATTTGTTATCTGAGCGCAGTTGGTGTGTTTGGACATATCATGGGGGCTTTTGGTCTTGGAACTTATGGTTATGAAATGTACTTGAATCTACAGTGGCCTTTTTCGTCTAATGGAAGTGCTGAAAGGAGTAGTAGTGGGACTGTAGTTAATACGATTGCAAAGTCTGTCACTCCTGCATTGGCACCGGCTTCGGCAGTCTCATCAAGGTTTTATGATGGATTGTTGGCTTCTGAGGCAGGGAGTGGTATTATCGTATCTCGCATACTTCCGGCAACGTCTGCTTTTTAGGCGTGTGGTGTTTGCGATATTTACGTCTCTGATGTTACTGTTGTTCGGAGAATGAAAACTACTTGATGATAAATTATTTGGTGATGAGGTGCTGTGTTTCACATTGTATACTGGCAGTCTGAACATGCATGGGCATGAAGTGAATGTCGCGTGTTTTTCGCGCGTACTATTATATAATGTGATTAAAATAAATAATTTTGAACCTTTTATCCTGCTGAATAAAATTCCGAGATTGTAAGTAGAATAAATTATGTATTCAAGAAATTATACAACTATCACATGTGTTTTAAGACCAAGAAACATGCAAGGAAGAGAAAGGTGGGCTGCCAAGAAAAATATGACGCGGGACTTACCGTGCCCGCTCCACAGCGGCGCGATGCATGCTGCACCCCACGCGTCGCGAATCTCTGCAATAACTCAACACCAACCAATTATGACGATGCATCGAGAAACAGACGTCTCGGTACCTCCTACGCCGACATGGCCAGTCAGCGATATAAGCATGCCCCAGATAAACGGCCATGAAGATTTTGGGAGCTTGGTAGACGAGTTATGCCAGTCAGTTTGTGAGGTGCAATGTGCCAACGACGCGGTTCTCTAATGGAGCCATAGATTCTTTGAGCACAACATTAAGTTACCGCATGCTTTCGAAGACCTGCGTCGATCTCAGGAAGGTCACGCCGTCAAGGTTCTCGTCCAATACCTTTCCGACCGAGTCGATCATCCAGCCCTAATTTCGGCCCTGATGTACGTCGAAGCAACTTTATACTACCTGAGAGAGACGTAGAAAACAATACTAGCAAGAAGGCTGACCCAAATCAGGGCTTTGAAAGGACACTTTTCAGCCCTAGAAGAAACCAGCGATGAACCGGGGGTCAACGAAGCCCGCGGGTACGCATGCGAATTTGTTGCATGGCAGTTTTTGACAAATCTGAAGGAAGCAGAAATCATAGAGTACCTGCTTGTTGAACTACCTCCTGCGTCAGCCTCGAACAGCCCGGATACAGCAGATGTTCAGCAAGATCGCCAGAACGGAGCTGGCAGCGCAGGCCCAACTGAGCGCACGCCTCTTCTGCCGACTTCGAATGGTGATTACTTTAACCACAATGGCTCCGCACTGACCCGATTTGGGTCAATGATGTCACAATGTGAAAACCTCAGTGCTCTAGAACTTGCCGCCGTATCCGGTACGTTAATGATAGCCTTGTGTTGGCTCCTATGTGGCCTAGAGACTGAACTAGTATAGGTGCCAAAAAGTTCCTTTCACAGAAACCGGTCCAGAAGATCATCAACGGCTTATGGAAGGGCGATATCGTCTTCTGGGAAACCCTTAGCTTACACTCAGAGAAAAAGCCCAGGAGATACAACCGGAAACAAGCCGATCCGTTCTCCCGTTTACGTGTACCCATGTATCTCAAAGTCTTTGAGACATTGTTCTTCGCCGCCTTCTTGGCACTCTACTATGCGGTACTGGTGAGGCGCGACAATACTCGCATCACTGTTCCTGAGCTACTTCTCTATGTGTGGATTGCCAGCTTTGCTTATGATGAGTTTGCAGATTGGATCGATGCCGGACAAACGTCATTTTATGCTTCGGACTTTTGGTAACACCCCTATCCGTTTGAGTCGATATGGTACTCTCTAACCTCAACAGGTGGACGTGGGATATAAGCATAGTGGTTGTTGGCTTTGTATTCTGCGTGATGAGTGAGACATCCAGACTATGTGATTGAGACAGGATCTAAAATCCCTACAGGAGTTGTCGGTTTGGCGACAGGCCATGCTGCAACAATTGATCAGGCGTATGATGTACTTGGGCTGGAGGCGCTCTTCCTGATACCACGCATATTCTCCCTGCTGAGTCTCAATCGTTATTTTGGAACTCTAATCCCCTGTCTAAAAGGTTGGCGCACCTTGCTGTGCAATGTTCGCTTTTTTCGGCTAAATCAGATACAGAGATGACGAAGGACTTTGTCAAGTTTCTATCACTCGTAGTGATCTTGTACCTAGGTAAGGAGGCGTACTGGATTACAGTGAATGTTAACTTATTGTTATTTCTAGGTTTCTTGACTACCTTTGTGTTGCTAGCTCGCGATAGCCGGTTTAACGCGAAACAGATGGTCAGTCTTGCAAATTCTGCCACCTGAACCACAATATACTTACTTGCCCCCCCTCAGTGTTGGATCTTGGTAAAAGTCTTCTTTGGGTGAGCGAAGCCATGTTGATACTGTCATTGTATCCGCTGACTCTTTGTTAGATCGAGCTATCTAGGATTTGGTGAGTTAATGCTTCCATGCAGAACCTGCGCAACTGATACACTGCCACCACCACCGATTCTATAATAACTAACATAATCCTGGGCAGATGTTGCTGAAGAGATGTATGCAGTCTCCAAAAATAAATGTCAACTGTCTATTAACGATCCACAGTTCTCCATTATTTGGGCCTCCGGTCATGGTAGGATTATTTATAACATTGTCTTGCCGTCCTCTGACTCGTGTATTAGCTAATTTTTGTCACTTTGACAAATATTCTCCTCATTACAAGCTTGATTTCGCTTTTGAGTAACTCATTGAGCAAGGTACTTATTATTTTCGTTGGTCGTCGATTCCCCATTCCTAAAGTCGGCGTACATGTTTTATGCACGCCAAGCCACGGTCCACATTCAACTGCGCCCCCTTCATTTCGAGCTACTCCACTAGGATGTATGACATGGAGAAGTTCCTTGATTTTTTCCAACCATTGTTTTTTGGGGGGGTATGATACAGCCACACTTGACGTTCTACCCCAGTTCCACGACAACCATGTCCTTCCCCTAGGCTATGAGGAGCATGGCTATAGTACTGATCCATGTACTGTGTGATGAAATGCATACAGAGAACTGACCAATGCTAGGTCTTGGACCACGCCAGAGATGAGTACTCGTTTGTGTTCGTCCACCCCAACCATTTACCTTTAAAAATTACTGATTTGGGCATGGATGCAGTTACTCAGTCTATGTGCTTGAAGCATCAAGCTCAAATAGGCTGACATACTTTCTGCCTCCACTGGTACGTACATTTTGTAATGCTATTATGGGGAGGTAAAAGCGGGCATTAAGCGCCGGGCTGTTGAGCGGCCAATTGGCACAGCCACTATGACAAGAGTGGAAGTCACACTCATGTCCAACCAATTTTTTGCTCGAATTGCTCGAGGAGTGTCATTTTGTGGGCGCTATGCCGTTGTTACCCTGCCTGCGAGCCTTGTTCTGCCGCTCAGGCTTTCTCGACACAACTGCACTGCAAACCCATGTGGGCCCTTGACGAAGCTACTCGCACACTCGGCTTCCCCGTCGCAAGGCTGACCGGCTTCCAGAATCTCATTCCGCTAGTCATCCGCCCGTTGCGGCTCATTTTGCCCTCTGAACGGCTGAGGAGTGTCCGGATCGTCATGCTCAAGGCAACACATCTGCCCCACGTATTTGTAATCTGGGCCTTTGAGAAGCTGAGCAATCATCACAGCGGCAAGGCCAAGATGACGACGTTTAGCGGTCCCCAGTCGCCTGCGCCGTCCAAAAGAGCCCCTCGATTGGCTGTGAATTCGCCGCGCTTGCTCATGGCGAGCTTCCCCAATTCAATGGGAAGGGCTCAACAGGCGATTCGGCCTCAGACTCGAACGGGGTTGCCGGAATCAGATGCTCAGTTGAGAACACTAGTTGCCAAGTTATCCACCCAGGTAGAACAACTTACTGCGATGGTGTCGCAGCTCCGGGAGGACCGCGAAGCGAGCACATCGGCCGCGTGAGGGCCGGCGCTTGCAGCCGCGGGAGTAGAGGTAGGCATGTTCAGGAAGGGCAGCAGAGTAGTGGGCAAAAAATCAAATAGCATTGCATGTTTTCATGTCGAGAAGTGTCGTCGAGCAATTGCGCATGAGAATGGGGGGTGTTGGGGTCTCGCAGTCACACGAGACTGGGGCCGTGAATGAATGTATGAACGAACGAACGATCAACGGCGGATGGGCGCAGGGCAGGCTGGCCAGGATGGACAGTTTCATGGGAGACGCACACGGGCATGGGTACAACCGCCCTCTCCTCTTGCGCCTCAAAGCCCGGTCGGCGCAAGGATTTTGTGTTCGGCCCGCTAAGGTCTAGGTACCCGACAGTGTGGTTCACTTGGCTACCCCGGTCAAGCCACTGTCGACTGCATGCCCCTGCACACGCACACTCCTTCATAGCCCCATGAACTAACAGGCGCTGCCGCGTAGGCGGCTCGAGCTTTGTTCATGCTGGTCTTGCCTAGCATAATTTGGGAGTCTGCCTAACACTCAAAAGCCCACTGTTTGAACGCATGCTTCGAGAATACACTGGTGGAGCATACAGACCGAAGTCTGATCTTGTGTTTGGCAAGGCTGCTCAGCTGCTGCTTCTTACAAATATAACTTATCTCGGTTCAGCCTTCATTCACCTTCTTCATTCAGCTTCCTGCACTCCACTATCTCCTCTATCCACCTTCACTCCTCACCACCTTGGCCAACCTCAAGGACTTTGTACATTGTTTCCCTTTGTTCCTTCTCTGTTCTTTCATCACGATGTACCCGGACCAGCCTACGCCGCCCTTCAAATCGCCCTACCAACTCCGTGCTCCAGAGACTGGCGCCCTAATGGAATCGCCCTATCCTTCGCCAGGGCGAGGAGAGTCGCGGTCCAAGTACCCGCAAGGCCTCGGTCTATACGAAGTTCAGCCTGTCTTCCCAAATCGTCTGCCTCCATCACCCCAGCCCTCACCGAATTGGAATGGCCAATTTGCAAACGTTTCTTCGCCAGGAGATTTTGCCAACCCATATCTCTCGGGGGCTTTCGACTATCCAGTATCCCGCTCACCCTTGCCCTGGTCATCTGCACAAGTATCCCCACGTTCGTCTCTGTCATATACACGCGAAATGTCGGCATTTTCCCACGATGGCTCAGAGCACGCGTACCCTAGCGTAGTGAAGGTCGAAACTCCGAGTTGGAGCCCACAAATTCAGTACAGTACAGACGGACCAGGACATATGCATGGACTTCCAAACTCGAGGCAAGATTCCCTCACAGTAGCACCAGAACGGCTCAGTACAAGCATGTATCCATGCGAGAATGCATACCCATCACCAGCCCTGCTCCGAAGCGAAGCGAATCCCATGTACAACTACAACGACGTGGTATACGAGAGAGCGCCGTCAGAGGGAAGCCTGCACAGCCCACAGTCTCGAAAAGCTTGCCCCAGCCTCGCCGTCACAGCCGTACAACGCAGACAAACTCGTAACCGCAGACATACCGATCCAGCTCATGCTGCATACTTGTGCAAACTTTGTCCTGACAAGGGCTTTGCCCGGAAACACAACCTGACGCAGCATTTGCTCATACACGAGCCAGTGCGCAGGAAAGATCATGTGTGCCCTTACGAAGCGTGTGGAAAGGAATTTGTACGCAGGGCGGACTTGGTACGTCATGATGAGTGTGTGCACAAGAAGAGGAGGCCATGGCAGTGTGAGAAGTGCTCTGCTGTGTTTGGCCGCAAGGATACGTTGACAAGGTAAGGAACAGTCGAGCAGGTCTACTTGACCATGTCACTGACAATTCTCTAGGCATAGGATTGATGGATGTTCTCGTCGTATGGAGGTCATAAGTTCCGGAGTTGTCAATTCACATTTGTGAAACACAATCATTTATCCGTCTTGAGGTTCGCATGGCAGATGGCAGCAAGTGTTTTTTTAATGTTTCGGGTTTGGATGACATTGCTGTTTTTTTTTTGTTTTTGGCGTGGGTGGACATTTGCATTTTTGGAGTTTTTGAGACGCTCGAAAGGAGGTGAGAGTGGTAGACAAATTGCTGTGACATAGTGAGGGTGCCTGGCTTCAATGCGCATGGGGCCCTCTCGCACGTAGTGCCAATATGATCACATTGAGCTCGACTAAGCATGTGCATTTGCAATTGGCCATAGAAGAGATGTGCTGAGTGTGGCATCATCTGTCTGGGTTCAGGGTAGGTGTGGAAACGCCACCAAGGGCAGTCCCTGGCAACCACACACGCCGGCACGGGCTGCCCACAACGTCTTTCTGTACAACCCACCTGAGGCGGGGATGACACGGGGACCATTACCGCAAGCCACGAGCCGCGGCCCATGGCCAGCAGCCCAAGACGACATGGATGCGTCTGTTTGTGAAATGGTGCAGGCATGGTGCATAATAAGCGCCCTCTGTGAGCCAGACGCAGGCGGGCCGCATCTGACTGGCCCACGATACGCTGCGGCCTGTGGCACAGCGGCGAGGCTCACGGGCGTACAGAACTAGACGCAGGGTGCTTCGGCTGCGAGGGAGAGAGAGAGGGATATTGCCTGGCTGGCCGCCTGTTGCCGGTGTGGTCTGGGGCGGCCTTGACAGCAGTGACAGCGGGCGACCGTGGCTCGCACAGTGCTGCAGCGCTTTACCATGTCTCACATCGCTCACGACCCACATGGCATATCAATCCCTGGAAGAGCTGGCTGCAACTTAGCCGTCTGCCCCAAGACTAGCGGGATAGCGTCGCGGCGGGCGCTTAATGTATGGTCGTCTGGGCTTGTCTTATCTGGCTCGAGCCACGTCGGCTGGTTGGAAGGTTGGAAGGGTGCAGGGCCTGAGTGCGCTAGCCCGCTTGCGTCACGGCACCACAGCCCTTTGCACTCTCCCACGCTCCCACACCCGCACACCCTCCCCAGCGACCTCCCCGTTTCGTCTTCCTTGTTTCATCGCGTCTCTGCGTCTAACTCCTCCTCCGCTTTGCACGAACCCGTCATCGCAACAACGGCCGCCTGCTGCCCGACCCGCCACTCTGGGCCGAGTCACACACACACACGCAGCTGCGTGCGCTCTCTGGCCCCAGCAGTCCCTCTCTTTCTTCTGCCGCTGGGTAATGGGTGCGTGAGACGATCAACAGCCGCCTCGCCGTATAGTATAGTACACGCATTTGCATTTGCATTCGCATTCCGAATGACCGTCCTGCAAAAGAAGCGGCTTCTGGCGTCGACATGACGCTTCCCGAACAATACCCGGCGCCACTCATGTGACGTGCTTCGAATGCGAGTGACGGCACACATTCTTCGGCTGGATGGAGACGCCTCCCAATCCAGGCTAGCTATTGTCCCCTCCACCCCCCAAGTATTGAAGCCAGCTGCCCTGCCGCGGAGGATTGTACCTGGACTGGCTCCTCTGCTGCGAGCCAAGCCCATCTCGACTGAGACATTTTACTGCATTGCGTCGCAGTCGGGTCGCTGGATGGGCCACTGTAACATCGGCACATGTTCGCAATGGAGTCCAGATTGACTCTAGAGTCCACGAGTATTGATGTGCAGCACTCCCCGCGTATCAATACGAGTTGTGGGTTCCACAACCTCATTGGACAGCGATACATCAGGCCAAAAGGCAGCCGTGAGTACACAAGCCTGATTCTGCCTATGCCTGACATCAGCCGTCGTTGCCGGCTATCGGCTTCCCCCAGGGCCGATGGGCGCCGCCCATGGCAACACCACACGGTATCACGTTCACTCGGTGCATGGCCGTTGACGTAGCCATTCAGCTCCTGCAATATACAACCAACAGCGTCATCCGTTGATCTCGAGCCTGCGGTCAGCTGCTAAGGGCATTCATGTGCAATTAAAGGAGCCAGTAATTCGCGAAGCGACCAACCATCCCATGTCTCTGCAATGAAAGGTGCGGCTGTTGAGTCACTGTGTGGACAAGAATGACACTGGAACCAACTGTACCGCCCCCCCTTCGCCCCCCCTCTATCATGTTTCTAGCGTCAAGATGCATGGACCTGTGCTGGTTGTGGCCTGACTAGGTGTCTCTATTCTCAAGACATGGAATCTCGCACGGTTTCACCTAGAGTCGTCTCTCAAAGGGCAGACAAACGTGGTAACCAGGTACCTGCATTCGCGTCATGGAATGAAACAGCCAAAACGCCCTGCTTCTCGTTCGCTGCAAGCCCTCCCCCACAGCGGACATCTGCGGAAGGGAAGGAATAGAGGCGTTAGGCCCCCAAATGCACAGTCGCGGTATCCTGGTAAACGATTTGCGTTATTGAAAAGGCAGCAAACGGGGCGTCGTAGATTTCCGACATGCATGGCCCAAAAAGAGGAGTTGTCAGCTCGATTTCAACATTCGGGGTTGTTGTGGCTTCGCGTCTTTCAATGTCTCAAAAGGACAGGAGGTAGGTACCCGCACACCATCGTGCTGGCACAAATTGACGGACAGGTTGCTGGGACACCGCAAACACGGTGCTGGTAACGCATCTGACGCAACAGCACGCCATTGCGCATCATGTTGTCTTTTCTGCCGCCGTGTTGCGCAAATCACCAGGTACGCGGCGCTACGGCGTTTAAGCAGGCTGCAGTAGCCGCGATGCTTCCGCCACCCGCGCGAGCCGCTGAATCCTTACTAGCGAAGCGCATCGCCGCGCGTGTGCCTCCGCGATAGACGCCGCCTCGCTAGAGCCACGTACAACACTGCTAAAACCAACGTCGCATGGCAACTGCTCTGCTACCGCGCACTTGCGCCATGGGCGATATCATGAGTTTTTGTTTGAGCACAGATAAACGCACAGCAGAGAGGGATTATAGTACCACGGCATACATTCACATTAGGTTGACCGGCGCAGGCAACAGGGTTGAAGCTGCGTAGAGTTCCACCCACTTTTCGGCTTGGGGTTGTTAGTGCCGAGACGATACGTATAGTGGGGGAATCCACAACAGAGCCTTGCGAAGCCAGCCAAGCAGCCACCTGGGTTTCCTCCCTTGCGATGCGCGATCCTTTGACTGACGGGGGTAGGCCACTAATTACGGTCTTCGCTACCAAAAGTCGGTGACTTTGCGGTTGGACATATCTAAATACGTCCGTTCGACGCACTTCAAAAAAGAGCGCCCGAAGACGCGGATTTTGTGTTCTCTAATAACAATGACAATGACGATAATGATGTCGAGCGTGGCTAGTCCCCCAGGCATCAGAACGGAGAATAATGGAGTATATTCCCGGTTTCGCTTGATGATTATCAGGGTAACGCCCATCACATCAG